TTGCTGGCTTGTGTACTTTTGTCATGAATCACAGCGACAGCTTTATGTTTCGGCCTATTTGAATAAGTGGATATCTGTTTTGACAATAATGCATTTCAAATTTGCAGGTGCAGTTTTTTTCAAAGTACTTCATGGTCGAACTACAACAAAAATGCGATTTGGATAGCGACTTTAGTACGTCGTTTTAACTGTTAACCAAAAGTGCAAGTTTGATGATAAGATTCGATCAATAAGGCTACCAGCATGGCCATTTGACACTCATGTATAATGTGAATGAGAGTAATGAACTAGAGAAGCCAAATGGTTTGCCGACTTTGTTTAAAGTCGTTTTTTACCCATAAAATAGTTCCCAGATACAGCAGTCTTGTGCTCGAGGTCGTACATCTTCAATATATGCCAATAATTCATAAAGAAATAAAACAATGACATAGATATGGGAAAATGCAAAATTCCTTTCCCTCTGTATGCCTCACAAGCAATTTTCTATTCAATTCTGACTTAAATAATACACACAATAGTTCTTTTTTGTCTAAATAACGTCTTTCAACTTTTCCAAACTAAAAAAGTACCAAATGTTTCGTCAGTGGGCTCCAATATACCTCTGAGCGAATGTATATTGTTATCCTAGATGAACAATATTATGCATTTTCTTGACAAGTGCGCCTGTGGAAACATTAGTCGGCTTCTGCATTTCACAGGCACTCTTTGTAAATCTTCTACTTGTCATGGTTATGTGGGATGCTTTTGAATTTAGCGTCGGTCTCAGTCCAACCATTCATTTATGTTTCCTTGTAATTTGTAAGTACCCCGCTATTTTATGTTCTTTAGCCAAATTTTCGGTATTGCAAAAAATAAAGGTTTCTTCCATTCCGTCGCAAAGTGGTCGTTTTGTCATATGAAAACAAGCGTCCATCCCTTTGCCCGCAAGACATTCCACTTAACGATTTTCACCACTTTTTAATCTCAGTTACTAGCGAAAAGTGTTCTCCTTTCACACTAAGCGTTACATTTAAGTTCCGAGCTTCACTTTATAATTCCATTGTGCTTCAGTGTGTGGAATGATTTAAGGAAGACAAAGTTATTGCTTTGACCACAAACTAATTAAACGTTTATTTTTCGATCGCATGCGTCAATGTGACTCAAGATAACATTTCAAATATATATGATTTTTATTAGAAGAGGGATGGATTGTGACCAAATAAGTTACAGTTGCTCCAAGGAGATCCGGCAGGCAGTTGATTGTTCTCACAGCTGAATAAGTTCGTTTGTTCGCCTGTGCTGCCTATAGTTTAATCTTTTAATTTTAAACGGATGCTACTGTAGGTATCCACGCACTTTGAGTTCTACGCCGCAACAGTAAGCTTTATTTTGATCAGAAATGGAGTTGCCGGAACATCTACTTATTGAGTAACTTCTTTGAACTTCTCTATGACAGAGATCTTGAAAGTAATTTTTACTTTATTAATAAATCGTGCTCTTGAGTACCTGCTTCAGTGTGCAAAATATGGCCTACTTACGTTTTATAATTTTCAAGTGAAGCAAATGAGCCAGGAACCCTCTTCTGAATTAAAAAAAATCTTCGAGTTTTGCCCAGCATCCCCGTTCGCGCGCGGTTTGATTGACTTCCCATACCCAACAGGCAACATTTAACGGAAAAACGTTTTCCGACGTTAGTCAGATATGATATGAGGATTTATGACGTGTGGACCACAGTGGACCAAAAGATCAAAAGAAATAGAGAGGCAGTATCAGTATTTGAAACGAAATATATGTTAAATGTGTTCCAATGAACTGCGTATAATGTTTTTGATGAGCGGGTGATCGACTATAAATAAGTGTAACATAGACCTTAAGGTACAACTAACTAAGAAGAGATGGTTTTCCAAAATATTAAAATTCCCACAATCAGCATAAGTATGCCAAAATAGAATAGCAAGAAATAGAGTATTATCATACAAACATTTCAAAGTTTGTTTGCTCCTCAAGGTCAGCGTTTAAAGCAGAAGGTAGCCAGGGTTTCTCATTACCTTTCCTGAGAAAGAGTGAAATTTATAGGACCGACGATGGTTCTACCCTTACGTTTTCGTATGCTGCTGATATATCAAAATATACTTAATCGAAAACTTCAAAGAAACCTTTCTTCATGGGACATATATAAGCCGAGGTTTTAGCTCTTCTGTCTATAAAAACGGTCTAAAATATTCGCCGTTCTATCTATAGCCTTGTTATAAGTTATTTATAAAACTAGAATGACCACATACCTGGTATCCAAAAGAACACAGACATTTTCCTCCATAGGACCGAATCTCCGATACATGCACTGATAAACGCAAATGGGGGCTTTTAAAAATTCCTAAGACATTTTAGGTGCCCCATTCAATCCCGGTAACGTACTCATTAAATGATTACCTATAAACATCTCCCGTAGTCAATAAGCCCAACACGTGAGAAACACAATCCGCGTGTAAAGCAACACAGTACTTGTTTTTTATATGGCTTACATATCGTCTTAAAGCGCAGGATGAATAAAGAGACTATATGCAAAGAAATGATGATAGAGACGAAAATTCGCGTCACGGGAAGCAGTCAAAATGGGGGGTAGCTACGACCGCCAGGAACGAGTACTTTATTTGCCTGAAGCTGCAGATTCAAGCCCCAACCAAAAACCAAAAACAGCAACAGATAAGGGCAAATACTACATAAAGTATTGCAAGATTTATAGCACCCATTTGTTGTGCTGTCGCATACATATGCCACAACAAATGGCTCCCCATTCACTGAGGACTGTTGCCCTTTGATGTGTTACTTGCCTGATGGCCGGCAGTCGTGTCGCTAATTACGGGGATTTCATCACCCGTGCTGCGATGTTTGTTCGACCATCTGCCTCGCCGATAATGCTGTTGAGAACTCTGTTTGCCTTCGTGCCCCGCCCCAAGTGGACTACGTACTCTGATCAAATTACGCCACTGGACCGAGTATTGGGTGGGGGGAAGGGGAGAGGTCATCGCACTTGGTAATTAGCACTGGAGCAGCCGTCAGCTCGCTCGAGTTCCTACTCTCGAGCGGGGGTCGGCCTCTTTGAACTTGTTTGTTTCTATGAATGGGTCTCCTCGGCAGTCCTGCTATCGTTTTTTTGTCATTCGCGTCGGAGAAAGCTTTTCGACTGTTTCTTTTTGCCCTCAACTGCGCCAGATGTAATAGCTGAGTCCAGACTTGTCTTGACGTGGCAGCGGGTCTTTTTTGTCTCAGCGTCTGGCGGTGTGTGAAGGCCTCCGAATTATCCTTAGCGTACGGAAGCGTTTTCGAACATTTGACTTATGTGAAATTCAGTCTCTCATCTGATTTGTGTATGCACTCGTTGGCAAGTTTTTGCCGGTGGCTATTTTGGGAAGGAGACGACTCGATCGCCGGGAAAATAGTTTTTTGCCTGACGTTTGCAGATGATGAATCCGCGACGGATGTCCAAACGGCAGGCGAAAAAAAGTATTTTCCCGGCGATTGAGTCATCGTCTTCTTATTTAATTCCTAGGACTTGCATGGTCGCTTGTATTGGTGGCTATTTTCCCTGAACACTCGTAGATGTTATCATATTTGGGCAATCTCCTCTTCCAATTCCCTGCAGGGCATCTAAACACGCCGATAAAGCACTCATAATCAACCGTTTGCGGCTAATTGAGTGACTGCTATCGTATATTTCACTTTACTGAAAAATGTACTTACTAGGCTAAGGAAATCCTGTTGGCTCAAATGTGTTTTGCGCAAACCATCGGTGATCCCGACGACCGCGGGAACTACAGTATTTCAGCAGAGAAAACAAAGGGTCCGTGGGCTTCTACCAGCTCGCCAGGGAAGCCTTCACGTATACCCTTCGGAGGGCTGACTAAAAGACCAAAAGCTGTGAGTTCGTGAGGTCGTGACCAAGAACAAGTCGAAAATGTGTCAGCATAGCTTGCGCGAACAAGCCTGTCAACAGTAAGCTATAAATATCGCCGTATTGAAGAACCATTTCCGCAAATACCTGCTATTACGCAAACTACCATCAAGAAACCTGAAAAAGAAGCAAATGCAGATTTTATAGCCGGAACTGTCGGTGCCAAACTTGTTTACATGAATCGGTGGCGGAACGGACAGCATTAACGATAGGGACAAAGAATCATATCGGAAACCACATTTTGTATCATAGATCGGGCTAAAATCTCTCTAAGGTCGAAAGTAATGCATAAGTCGAACTCATCTGCAAAAAGGCATGGTTTTCTTGCCAGCAGACAGGCAAGTTTTTTTTCTACAGTTCTGCCAAAAAAATGTTTTCATTTTTTTAAATGGAAAAACTTATTGTACTTGGGGTATGCCATTCATGCACTACTGAACTATAATACTTCCAAATATGCTTCCTTAAATTATAATGGGTATACGAGTGGTTAATAGGTTAAGGATAATGCAAAATAAGTAATACACTACACAACTACCCTAGTAGCGCGTGCAGATCAAGCAGACAAAACCCGGTATAAATCCAACATCTGTATCCGGATCTTCCAGCAGGGTTTCACCATGCAATCCGCTTGGATTTGCTGCTAGGCCCCTCTAGCACAGGAGACTGTCATTTTTTTCTCTCAGGAAGCTAATATGACTCACCCTCTCAACAGTTAATGGTTCTTCTGTCTTGTCGCGCCAACCGTTCTAGTGTGACAATCAACATTTCTTCCGACGATGGCATGGGTTTTGGTGAATCCAAGAGCGACGTAAACATTATGATTGTCCTAGTAAGCAAAGGACGGACGGCAGTAATCATGGGCATATCCAGCCTTTCGGAGTCTTCTTGATCCACGTCTAACCTAGTAGCATATCCAAGCGGATTCCATCGTGGAATCCTACTGGAAAAATCCGGATACATATGACGGATTTATACCGGATTTTGTCCACTTGAGCTGGAAGTCAATAAACTAGACGCTTGACCTGCATTTATAGTGACATCCCTTGTTCGTGTATGGACTGCTACATACATGCGTGCTAAAAAAACTGATGATAAAGACCCCTTTGTGAAAACTCGAAAAATTCCCCCAGCGGACTTTGAAATCGAGTTCACATTTTCTTGAGTTTGATTATAAGATACGACAGATTTTCGGGTAACGCATATGCAAAAACCCTCAGCTAATACTAATTAACTGAGGGTTTTTTGTGGTCTCTGAGATAAGAATGTCAACCTTCTCCTGAAGCTGAGCAAGTAAAATGGTCTAGGTTTGCCTTATATACAGCATCGTTACTCTCGAAACCTCATGCAAATATTGTTTTTTTTTGTTGTTTTACAGATGCAAGGGATTTTTAGAGGCCTGTCTCAGTCCCGACTTCAAACGATTTCGCCTCCTGCTTTCTTACTATACAGCCTACTTTCAGTTCCCCATGACTAATGCCTCGGAAACTGCAAGCATACTGCTGACTACCCTCCTCTCAGTGGAACGCTATATGACAATGCATAATATCAGTTACCCAAGCAAGAACAAGGCATACTCATGTTGCGGGAAAAAAGTTCATTCTGCAGACTCTGAAGCCACCGACGACCCCGACTTTAATACCACCACCAATTGCAAGGATTGCGAGGGGTTACGCGTTGTCTTAGTTCCACTGACATGTGTCTGTTCTGGTGTCCGAAACAATGTCACACTAGCCATAACTAAAGTGGCCTTTCTAAGCATCGCACTGAACATTCCACTGTTTTTTAGCCAACAGGTTATTACCCGCGAGGTAGAGGTTGCTACAGACGCAAGGACTGGAGCTCCCGCTCAGACTACCTTGAAGTGGGGTGTTGGTGTGACGGCTTTTGGAAACTCTCGGTTTTACTCCATCTATACCTGGTCGCGTACCGTGTTTCTTCAAATACTTCCCTTCATTTACCTCTGCCTAATCAACTTTTACCTTTTCAAGTTCATCCGGATGGCAAATGCCCGATGGAAATCCAAGCTACAAGCGCCAATCCCTGCCAATCTCGGCGGTGCCTCATTAGCTGCCCCTGAACAGTTAACCATGGACAGGGAGTCATCCAATGTTAATCTGGCAAACTGTACGAATCCCATCACGGGCAACATCGCCACAGCAAACCTTCGAAATATTCGTCGGCAAAATGCTCAGCGTAAATTAACTGTCCTTCTGATTGCAATTGTGGCACTTTTTTTGGCTGGACAGATCCCACAGGCATTTGCATTTGCCGCCATCTATCAGGCCCTGTTAAAGATGCTGGGAGCTGAGTCACGAAAGCTGGCTTGCAGCCCTTCTTACCGCCTCTACAGAGTCAGCACAAATTGTATCTGCCTTCTGACCTACTCGGCCAATTTCATCCTCTACGCTACACTGAATGCGCACTTTAAAAGAGAGTTGGCTCGATGTTGCCGCGTGAACGAATGCAAACGCAAGCCCCGTAACTTGGTGAGCTGTGTTGATGGCGGAGCCGACGAAGAACAGCCTTTTGTCAGAGGCAAAATCAGAAGGGCGGCAGCCTCCACCGACTGCGTTCCCAGGGGAAGACAGCAGCCGCCTCTTATTGGTGGACCGGTGTC